CGGCAGAAGCAGCCCCCCGGCGCCGCGGAGTAGTGAGCCAGGAGGGCGGCCACGCTGGCGAATTCGGCGTTGGAGTGCTGCCGTCGGCGCCGCCGCAGCCGCGGGGAGAGAGGGGAGAGGTGAGCTCGCCACGGCGGCCGGCGGGCCTTGCCGGGGTGCCCGTGTGCGGTGCACCCATGCAGCTGCGTCCCCACGCACCCCTGAACTGAATGCGCCCATGCACCAAATGCACCCATGCACCAAGCGCAGCCATGTACAGAAGCACCCGTGTACTTGTGCACCGTGCACCCACAAACCAATGCACTCATGCACGGGTGCACACATGAATCAAACGCACTCCTACGCCCATCGCGCCCATGCTTGCACGTACTGATGCGCCTTTGCACCGTGCATCCTCACACAGCTGCACCCTGTGCACTGTTCACCCACAACCGAAATGCACCCGTGGCCAGCGTGCCCGTGAGTCACACGCACTCACACCAATGCACCCGTGCACCACGTACCCACACGCAGGCGCACTTGTGCACCCACGAATCAAACGTAGTTGCACGCCAAAGCACGGATACACCCATGCACCCGCACCCATTGGTGCCTGTGCAGCATGCACAGATGCACCCATGCACCCACGAATCCAATGTGCCCATGCACTGGTACCCCTGCGCACCCATGCACAGATGCACCCGTGCACCAATGCAACCATGAAGCAAACGCCTCTGTGCACCCATGCACTTAGGAAGCAAATGCACTTTTACACCAGTGGGCCCATGCGCTGATGCACCCATACACCTGTGCACCGATGCAACCACCCGTGCACCCCTGCATCAAACGCACGTACACACCAATGCATCCATGCATAGATGCACCAAATGCACTTATACAGAGGATCAAATGCACGCATCTGTGCACTGATGCACCAGGGCACCCATGCACAGATGCACCAATGCACCCATGCACCAAATGCACTTATGCAATGTGTCAAATGCACTTACACCCCCAGTACATCTGTGCACCAGTGCACCCATGCACAGATGCACCAAATGCACTTACACCCCAGCGCATCCATGCACCAGCACACCCACGCACAGACACATCAAGTTGCACCCAGGTGCAACTGTGCACCACCGCAACCATGAAGCAAACGCGCCTGTGCATCACGTGCCCCCACGCACGACGCCCCCGTGCCCCCGCGCAGCACCCTCACCTCCACGCAGAACCTGCCCTGGTGGGTCCTGAAGAGGCAGTAGGGGACGACGCCGCAGGGCGCCCGCACCCACAGGCACCAGCGCTTGGCCAGGCCGGGCTCGGGGCGCAGGAGGAAGGCGCCGGGGACGTCCCGCCGCAGCAGCGCGATGCCGCCGGCCCTGGGGAGGGGACGAGGACGCGGGTGCGCGCA